CCCAAACAGATTTTCAATAGACGTCACCGTGAAGACAAATCTGAATGTATAAACTCTGATTTGTTGAGCAAGTATGCAGATAAAAGTGTTTTGTTTACACTGAGTGCAAACCCACATTCCAGAGCTGCATATCAATAATTAATACCGCAGTCAACTCTTTCTGACTGTGCCATTTAATTTAATTGAATGTTTTATGTTTGATGTGATAGTTTTCAATGAGTAATTAGAGTAATTATATTTAGGCAGAACATGAAATATATATGAAGTGATGGATTTATTTTCTCTGTTAATTAACGTGTTGAACTGCAGTTTGTTTTGTATTATGTAGTTTTATACCATCGTGCAGGTTGGGGCTTGTGGAAAATATTCTCACTGATTCAGAGAGAGAGAAGCGCCATTCAGTTGTGATATTGTCTTTGTCTAAACATGCAGCTTTCACCTCGGCTCATAATTTAGTCTAACTCTTAATGAACGACCAACTTTGCGTTTTGAAACAGACCACACATGAGAGGAATGTTGCTGAACACGTGCCAACACCAAAATCCTTCTGTCTAAAGGATTTCTGTTCATCTGTGAAGACTATGATGAGACGCAAAGAAGTGTTGGAAATTATAGAGCTAAGTAACATAATCTCCTGGAACAGCTGGATTATTTTTCAAAGCACCTTTGACATCAGTAACTAGTTAAAGGTTTACATTTCATCAGGATGTAAGATATTTATCTTACTTGAGCTGCCCTGGCTGACATAAAAACTATATTAGTTGCTTTTATTTCTTCTATAGCCCAATTAATACTCATTTCTCTGTTTGCATTTGATTGCAACATCTTCTAATTGAGCGCAGATAGACTTTTGTGAATGCCAACGGTGCTGAGGCTGTGAATGCATCAGTCTGCCTGATCAGCACGTCTAGTCAGCCCAACTCCCGGCGGATTGATGCATTCAGCAGCCTCAGCACCAACAGAATATACACGGTCCGTGTTTAGCACACATACATTCACAACGCAACACAGTCGTCGTTCAGTGGAGAAAACAGCAACAAATTAAACAAAGGTGCCATCAAAACTGTAGGGGCCGAATACTAGTCCATGTGGTGTTATTTCTCAGTGGTATGTTGTTTTTAAAAAGAGCTACGAGATTGAAACAACAGTCTTGTTTGGCTAGCCACCAACACACAAAAAAAGTTTAAATCATGTCGTCTGGACAGTTTCTTTTAGGGAGAAACTTTTCGTCTTTCATCCGAAACACATCGTCAGTCTGAGGCCTGCCAACCAGATCCGTCTTATAAATAGCACCTCATTGATGTGTTTATGTCTGAGGTACGTTCGTCAGACTGATGAAATCTTTCAGATGAAAGACAAAATTTTTCTTCCAAAAACACTGTCCAAATGAAATGATTTAACCATTTTTGTGATTTATTTACCTGGATGACTGAGTTTACATTTAAGCTAGTCACTAACTTAGCTTGGACAAATATTTTTGCCTCTTTTTTCATCCTCTGTGCTCTATGACTGACGTCTGAGCCGATAAGGTACTATTACCTATTTAACAGAACATTAGTTCAAAGATGACCAGACTATCCATTAAAGTTAAAAAGTCTGTTTTCACAGCATAAAGCAGTTGGCCCGAGTGTGATTACAGCCTAGCATGTGGCAGCGAAACAAACACGAAAAAGTCACATAAACGCACCCTAAGGCGTACAGCAGGAATGCAGGCAAAGAGGAAAATGTTATTTATTAGAGCAAAGAATTCCAGGTGTCCGAGGGCTGGACAGCAACGATGCCGTTACACCTTCAAGCCCTCAGATGTGCACAGAGTACACGTGACAACAGACGTGTTTTGAGGCAGCATGACGGCTCAGTGGAAGGTCAAGAAGGTCCTGGGTTCAATCCTCGGTCTGGATCTGGGGTCTTTCTGTGTGGACTTTGCATGTTCTCCTCGTGTTTGCGTGGGTTTCCTCCCACAGTCCAAAAACACACAGGACTTTCATGGCAGCAGACAATAATCTGCCATGCAGGAATCATAACACAACCATTCTGCAGAATTCACTGGACTTTGCTGCTCATTTCACGCCCGTTTTAAACTGCTCACTTGTTTGTAAGCTTCCGTTGTGACTGAACGTTTGAAACATTCGGTTTGTCCAGATCGGATTTTATGCTCCAAGTGGAAAATTTATTTGAAATCAATTATATTTACGTTCAACTCACGGCTGAATAAAGTGTCTTTTGGAAATCCTGGTTAGTTTATTTTTCATTTATCACTTCATCCAATCACTGATGTGTACTGAAAGCTTAAAGCTCAACCTCGTTATATTACAGTTCACGGTTTCTGTGAACACGTAATTATACTCCGTTTCCTTAATGATGAGCGGAACGAGCCCAGACACACGTGAGCAGTTGTCTCAGAAAAGGTAAGGATGACGCATCGAATCAGTCAACTTTTTTATACACATGGGTAAAAATACAGCAACAAGAATATTCCCTTTAACTTAGATACCACCACTAATCCTAAACCAAGACATAAACTAACAAATAGCAACAATTTGCATGTGTGTGGCCTGTTTTATACCATCACACGTTGGTCACACTTACTCATTAACCCTGAATGGACCTGATCCACTTTCCCTTCCATTGCTCCATCCTTTACTTCACATTCCACAAATACTCCAAATTCTGGGAGTTTCTAAATCCTACAAGTTGGCCCGATCGACCTAAGCTTCATTGACCACGGGATGCTTAAAATCATGAGTTGAGCGGAGGCGTACTGCTCTTAGAAAGCTGAAACAAAAGGAGCAGCAGTCGAAACAAAACCGCAGGCATAAAATGTGTTGCCGCGCTTTCGTGGGAATCTGGAAAACGTAATTTCTGATTAGAAGTGGACAGAAAATCCCTCCAGGCATTATTACATCATCTTGTGTTTATAACAGAATTAAATTTGTTAATGAGAAACGGGGGGAATGTAGAAATAAAAAAATCAATTTACTATGTAGTCTCGCTAATCATGATCTTGCTGTTAAATGTTCACATTACCTGCCAGAAGGGGATATTTTTCTTAAATCTGTTGAGTTATAACTGAAGTAATGAACTCGGAGCATGAATCTTAGAGAAATAAAACGAACCACATCTCATTTGTTCTTTGCTAAACAAAGCACCTGATGTTAGTGTAAAAAGTTCAGTAAAAATTTAACAGTAAAACAAAAATTTAGCAGTAAAATAAAAATTTAACAGTAAAACAAATGTAAAAAATTGCCTGTTCTTGCATGTTCACGGACAACTTGAATGGGTGGATTTCATGCAGCTTCAGAGCTGGTAGATTGTTAAACAGGGCATTTATAATTCATCTTTTAATTAGATAATACGTCATCACAATCACATCTCTGTCCAGTCACTGGTTCTTCTTTAAAAACATAAAAATAGACTCAATGAGCTCAACTCACCCAGCAGGAGGAGGCTCAGGTGCAGCGTCATGGTGGACATCAGGACAGCTGGACGTTTGGACACCAGGACGTCTCTCTGGCTGCAGAGCATAAATAAATAATAAAGACTAAGAAATTATATTTGTGTTATTGCATCTTAAAACTGACAGAAACATGTACACAAACATTTGCAAACTGACACCATCACACCCTGCGTTTTAGCTTAAAAAATAAAAAAAAGTTAAAAATGTTTCTGTCTCTCGTAAACAAGTCCCCGAGACTCAATGGGATCAACCTGTATAAATAAAGGTTGAATGAATCCCGTGAACCGCTTGCTTGACGAGTTTTAATGAAACTCTATTCCCTCGATGAGTCTTTGAATGAATCGTATACAACTGATTCAGTTTCAGTTACGTTGATTGTCACAACAAAATGACCCCAGAAAACAAAACGATGCTTTAAAGTTAGTCCATTTAGCAGATACTGCGCTCACGTTTGGCGGAGTAGAAGCCGAGAGCTAATCACAACCCAAAGATATGAAAGTTATTTTAAAAGTTTACCCAAAATGCTAACTCCTTTCTCAGCATAAGATGATATTAATCCAACTCTTAATCTAAAACACTGACATGAAAGGCAGCTGCTGATATGAACTCCTTCTAGGATGGACATGCCTTTAATTTATAATTACATTAAAATTGAAAAAACAACAAGCAAGCAAGCATTTCATAACCGTGACTGCCCTACTTTAGCTTAAAGACAGACAAGCGAGGCCACTCATTATTGACCACGATCACTCGTTTGCAGAGGGCCCCTCATTCATCAATCTGTAAGTTGTGAGAGCAGAAGGACCTGAAAAGAATCAGGAAACCTGCTTGCCACTGAGAAGACTCATCAGAGCATTAATATACTCACATTCCTTCAGAAACTTACAATAACTCTGTTGTGACCAGAAGATGAAATCCAATTCATTACTTTTATAATTTTATGTCACAAACCAGCTGCTGAAGAACTGAAGGCAAAAAAATAAATCCCTGTTAAATTTTAACTGCTACATAGTTAGAAGAGTTTACAGTTTAGCTACAAGTGACCTACATGGGTGGTAACAGCGCAAGGTCACGTTGTAATCTAGAGTCTACAACAGAGCGGGATGAAAAGGAACAACAGAAGGTTGAGCTGATGCAGAAACAGGAATAATGTTGAAGGTTTGTACTCACACAGCCCCGGGTCCCCTCCCTCGGCCCTGCGTGGCCACAAATGCTCACTCGGCCACTTTCTCCTGCCGGTGTGCAGCCTCTTGTGCACCAGTGCCCGTGTGCAAGCTCAGGACCCGCATTTACGCGTGCATGCACATGAGCATTAGCGGTGAGTTTGTGCGCCAGAATGCGTAAAACAAACTTGAGAGCGTAAGTGATGGCAGCAATGTAAAAACAGAGGGAACAGCATGGGCCAATGGGAGCGCAGAGTTTTATACGGGACCCCCAGGGTTCCTCTCCTCCCTCTGCATCGCCCTCCCTCGCTCCCTCCGACTCGTCACTGGGTCACTGGGGTGAATGGGCAGCTATTCTTATTCTAATTGCCATGTCGCACAGTGGGCCAGCGCCTGAAAGAGGGGAACGGTCTCCAGGCTTTTGGAATGCACCTCCCTTTTCTTCTGGACGCCGAGGGAGAGAGAGAGAGGCAGAGGAGGACGAGAAAGAGAGGGAAAGTTAAAGGAGGAACAAGGAGGAGAGCAGAGATGAGAAGAGGAATATTTTAAAACAGTAAGAGGGAAAATACAGAGAGGAGGCGGGTGAAAATATATTTTATGGATAATCCTCTGTATGGAACGTGTCATCATTTAATTATCCAGCAAACTTATTACAAATGCAAATGTGACAGCTTGAATTTGAAAACTCATCTTAAGTTATAAAGTTTGAACACCGTATGGAGAAACAATGAATCAGTCAAAAAAAATAAAAATGTTTCAAACAATTAAAGATTGAGTAAATTCAACACCTCTCATGGACAGACAAATCTGTTGTTTTATCTTTGTGCTAATTCAGTTTTCCTCCTTCCTTCTTATTATTGAACACAAGAACTGTTTTCAAAACTAAAATTTTGTACCTGGAACAAAAAAAAGTGTACAGTAATCCCTCACTACTTCGCGGTACTCTCTATATCGCGGTTTTTCAAAATAAGACTGGAAATGGCACACAATTGGCTGATTGATGGATGAGCCACACGAACGGCATGGAATTTTTATTAAAAGTAAATTTTAAATTATTTAGCACCTTCTGCACCAGTGTGCAGCCCTCAGCTTGCAGGAGAAGCTTCCTCCTGCAGCATGTCATATATCTCTGCTCTGCAGCGGAAAAGTGGGCGTGGCCGAGAGTGCAGCTGGAGGCAGAGAACACAGATCATGACACGCTGTGCTCTTTTAGAGCATTTAGAGTTTAGAAACATTGTTTAGAATATTGCAAGCATGTGGAAAGGGTCTACTACTTACTATTTGTACTACTATTCCTACTTCACGGTTTTTCACTTATCGCAGGGCTTCAGGGTACAGATCCCCGCGATAAACGAGGATACAGAATACTGTATTGTTGTTGCAAAGTTAAGCAATTTAATGCCTTTTTTATGTTTTGCTTTTGAAGCCATGTGTTTAGATGCATCATCCATTTTTAGTGAAAGATTCGAATGCAGCAAACGTTCAAACGTATAAAAGAAAAAATGTATATATTTTTTATTTTTGCTTGCACACTTGTGGGAGTTTTGATCTGGCATCTCCCCAATCAACAGCACCTGAGGATCATTGGCTTGATGAGCAAGAGGAACATAAAAGGCTGCAGAGGACATCCAGTCAGTGCTGGAGCATTACCTGCCCATGGTAGTTCTGTTCTAGCCTTTTACTTGCAAGTTAAACCTAATATTAATGACTTTGTCTTTTCTCTGTGCTTCCTGTAAATAATCCCCGATGTCCTCCTGTCCCTGGATTCTCCTCTGTGCACCTAAAGCTCTTCTGTGCCTCCTTAGCTGCCACGCCTTCCTACCACTTGCCCGTCTCCTGTCATTGTTCAGACGTACACCTTCTTTGCCTGGAACCACTTGGGTCAGCTCTCCCCACTACTGACTTCTACCTCTACCATAAGAAAGAGCAGCAACAACATTATCACCCCTGCCAACAAAACACTAACCATCTCCTTGCTCTTCAGGGTTCCAGCTCCCTCCCTGGCTCATTGAATGAATCATGAAACTTTGCTTCATTTAGCATTAATAACTCAGTTTCAGCTTTTGCAGAAAATTTCAACAAAGTCTGTTAGCACTCATCATTTCCATTGCTGTTCCCTGTAAAGGTTTTTCCAGTTTTTAATATATTCTTAAAGAAGGAAAAAAAAAACAACATTCAGCTTTTGTCTGTCACCAAATTTTGGCATCTTATAAAAGTAAACTGCTGTGACAAGATAAAAGATTTATGCATTAATATGTTAAAATGCACAACTAATAAAAATTGATGCATAAAAATATATGGAATTTTTCAACAGTCAAGTGTGCAACTTTCTCAAAGCATAAAGTAAACTGTGACTGAGCAAAGTTTCTGAATATTTGAAAGTGTATGAAGTATTTTTGTTTTGAGCTTGTAATAGATTTGAAAAGTCTAGCTTGTAAAAACTGATGTAACTGAAAAAAAATGCTAAAAAATCTCGACTTTTTACAGAGGTCTGATGGCAGGGAAGAAAACTTCCTGAGAATTGAACCTGTGATCACCTTGCTACAAGGCAATAGCACCAACCAACCGTGTCACCATGTAGCCCCTGTTAAAGTCCTATTTAATTATAAGTAGATGTTAAAATGGAAAATATGAGTTGCGTTGATAGTTAGAGAGGCACCACATTTCAGTCTGAGATCACGAGCGAACAAACACCACAGTGCATGCACCCGTTCACCTCAATGAGATAAAGAAATCCTTGAAAAATCTGTTGAAAGTTCAGTGCCACCACCTTAACTCCAGCATCTGCAGAGCAGTCAGACAAAACAACGTAATCTCAAGACGCTAACCCAAACAAGCCAAAGGTACCATGTCTCTGAATGCCACAACATGGCCGGCCTGGCTCTGGGAGCCTCTTTGAGTTTGTGTACACATAAATTGAAGGTCTTGAGATTTAGCTGCTGAATATATTCAAGTACGCTGCAGTTTGAGAAACTGTTACGGTAATGTAAAACAAGTCAGGGCAAAGTACTGGATCAGATCTCCCAGATGAGATCATAGTGGAAGTTTGTCCTCTGTATACAGGTGAGTCATCAACACCACCTCTACTTCTAACATCGAACTCAGCGGCTGTGATTTATGAACTCAAGCAAAGTAAAGACAGAACCCAAGTATTTCATTGTGCTGATTGTTATACTGAAATACGTCTTTATGTATTTAACAGATATTGTTTCATGGTTCAGAATCAGACGCACACTGCCAGGTATGAAAAGATCAGCGCCACAAATTCTGTTCAGGGAAAGCTTCTGGTAATAATCAAGTTAAACCAGGTTGTTGCCAATAAATGCAGAGAAGAAACGGCATTCGGGATTTAATCAAACTCTAATGAATTAAAATCCAAGAAATCCAAGTGGTGGATTCTTTAAAAGGGATGTATGATTTATGCACATGTCAACACCCAAAATCTACATAGTCAAGGAAAATAAATGAGTCAGAGTTTCCATGTATCCATCCATCATCTTGTTATCTTGAACTTTTTCTTCCTTTCCAGTTCATGGGGTGTCACTGGTGACATGTCAAGTAATCTCACCCGCACATAAGAACTGAATATTTAATTTGCTAACTAAATATTTGGCTCCAACCGAAATATTTATTTTCCAAGTTAAACATTTAATTTCCAAAATAAATATTTAATTTGATAACTAAATATTTAGCTTGGACCGAAATATTTAAGTTGCGAGTTAAATATTTATAGCAAGTTAAATATTTAGCTCTGAGCTAAATATTTAGTTAGAAAATTAAATATTTAGTTTAGAAATTAACAGTTTAGCTTAGACATTAAATGTTTAGTTTTGAAAATAAATATTTAGCTTGAAAATTAAGTATTTAATTTGGAAATTAAATATTTAATTTACA